TGAATCGCAAGCAGCTAGTACTCACCATCCTCCAGAACGGATCCTAAAAACGGACTAACTTGCCCTTCAGCCTTAAACAAATCTAAAACAGTATTTAAATGCAGAATCATGAAAATAACGATATTTTATGGCGGAAGGAGTAGGGCGGTTCAAGCATAAGAAAGGAGCGGAGAGCAAAGCCACCGGAAAGGACTCAAAACTGTCAATGATTAGGAAGCCGTAAATATTAGCATTAAGCAGGGCCAACTGTGACATGACCCTCGGCCCCAAAGCCAACCCACTAACCCCCTCGTCGTGTGTATTTAACAATTAACGGATTAGGTTTAATAATACGGAGGAAACGGAAGACTGGATCGGGTGAGGAAATGCGCATATCGAAGTTCACCTAATTTTACTGTATATTTTGTCTTATTCTTCTTATAAAATTAGTAGTTCAAAGTTATACAAGCGCTTCCAGGTCCAAAATGCAAACGCATATCCTCAATTGTAGTGCGGGCTTAGAAGACAGCAACATGACTGGTACAATACAACTTATATTATACAGATTGGAATCATGCGGTTATTTCCAACATGGAATGGAAATCCACCTATATTCTATCATAGCAAATGGTTCAGTGTTAATAGCGAAGCCCCTACGAAAACTGAAAATTTAACTAGATGGTCCAAATCGGAGGTCGATCCGCTGTCGGTCCGTTAGGGCATAAAAACAGGATTCAAATTCTTTCGGACAACACGTATGGGACAAAACACGCATCGTCGGACTTTGCCCCTTCCAAAAAGGCAGAGAATTTCTTGAGGCCACGCATGCCGATGATTCCTCAATCAACCGACATTTCGAGTTCGAAGGAATGTACACACATCTCAAAGAAAGATGGAAGAGACGATAACCGAGCAATACGGACTGATATAAACCGTATCTACCAATCAGCGCTCACTCAATATGACTATATTTATGATGCACGTGTTCAATTTTAATTGTTGGTTGCGCAGTATTTCTAGTCTGAAGACGAGCTGGGGAATTAATCTCGAAAAGTTACTGAATAAATTTACCTTGCTGTTCCAAAGAATATCTCCT